AAGCTCGTTGGAAGAAGCTCGTTGGAAGAAGCTCGTTGGAAGAAGCTTGTTCACCTGCGCCTTTCTGAGCAGGCCATGGCCACCGTTATACCTTTATAACAACCTTTACTTCTACAGCTTAGTCTCAATGAGCCTCGAGGACTCATTTAAACACAGACCTGGTTTAACACAGAGTGATGGCATTATATAAAAACGAAACAAAAAGCAGCTACACTATAAAGTGATATAAACTAAAAACAGGAACATCTGCAGGAACTTATCAGATGTTTGAAGCCACTTAGAGAGGTCAAAGGTCAAGAGCTTCAGGTCTTTTTACAAGATATTCCAGGAAACAGGAGCGGAGTAGGAGAAGGTCCTTTTGTCTAGTTCAGTCCTCACTGAGGGAACACTGCAGGTAATGATGTCCTGAGAGCGCACGCTGTAGCTGCACTCACACAGAGACATGTAGGAGGAGATGTATGAAGGCAGCAGACCAGGAAGTGATTTAAAGATGAAAATGTACCAGTGGGAGAGTCTGTGTGAAGTTAATGATGACCAGTTAACCAGTGGATACTGGGTGTAGTGGTGGGTACGATAATCACAGCCAGTTATGAATCTTAGTGCACCATGATAGACAGCATCCAACATCTGCAGCATCCAACATCTGCAGAGTGCACCATGATAGACAGCATCCAACATCTGCAGCATCCAACATCTGCAGGGTGCACCATGATAGACAGCATCCAACATCTGCAGCATCCAACATCTGCAGGGTGCACCATGATAGACAGCATCCAACATCTGAAGCATCCAACATCTGCAGAGTGCACCATGATAGACAGCATCCAACATCTGAAGCATCCAACATCTGCAGAGTGCACTATGATAGACAGCATCCAACATCTGAAGCATCCAACATCTGCAGAGTGCACCATTATAGACAGCATCCAACATCTGCAGGGTGCTCCATGATAGACAGCATCCAACATCTGCAGGGTGCACCATGATAGACAGCATCCAAC